GTCCACCTGGGCAGGTCATGGGAGGGTGGGAGAGACCGGGGTGCTCAGTGGGTGGTGAGAGTTCTTGTTTGTTCTCATGCTTGTGCTTCTTATAGGTCCTGGGGCTTCATGACTCCAGGGGCTCCAGGGTGGGGGCTCCCGCTGGCAGGGTGCACAGAGGAGAGGGCGAACGCTTAGTTCTTCCCACTCGCCTGCCAGCCAGGTAGAGTACCTGGCCATTAATTCCATCATGCGTTCATTCATTCATGCACACCGTGAGCCAACCGTCCCTGGGTCCACTTAGGCTCAGCCATCTGTTGGACAAGAGGGATTTAGGGACGATTTGATCTGAACCTGCCCTGAGGGAGCCACCACGAGGGGACTCGGAGCAGGGAGGGTCACCTGTGCTCGGGGGATAGAGGTGATCAGGGGAAGCTTCCCGGAAGAGGGAGCCTTTAAGCCAAGCCTTCACAAATAATGGGTCATGTACTCTGAGGAGAGGCTAAGAAGGGCTTTTAGGATGCCTGGAACAGCAGGAGCAAAAACCAGAGGCACGGAAAGGCTGGGCAGTGTTCAGCAAACAGAGGACTGTTGCGGCCAGCATGTGGTGAGCTCAGTGGGACCTCTGAGCAGGATGGTCCAAGACGTGGGCTGGGACAGAGCCCGGGGCCGTGAGGTCTGGGCTTGTCTTCCAGGCACAGGGAGCCACGGAAGGCTTTGGAGTAGAGGAGTCACCTACAGGGAACAGTTGAGAGGTGGGACACCAGAGTCACAAGCTGCTTCCTGTCTGTCCAGCCAGGCTCAGAGGGAGCCTAGCAGCGCCAAGGCCTGGGCTGGGACCTGGCAGGGGACATTCAGGAGTTGCTCAGAGGGGCAGGCAGCCAGTTGCCAATGAAGAAGCCTGGCCTCCCCAGGAGGGTCCTCTTTGGGTCAGCCACCTATTGGGCATAGGATGCAGGAGCCTGGAAGCCTGGTCCACATCCCTCTTACCTCCTGTGTGTCCTCAGGCACACCACTTGGCCTCTCTGTGCTGTCATTTCCTTGTCTTTTAAAGTGGGAGCCTCCCAGGACTTTGTCCCGAGGGTTAACTGAGCTGAGATGTGGAAGTGGCTGGTGAGGGGGGCTTGCTGGGTAGGGGGAGGCCGGGTTCCTGGTCCTATTTGCATAATTCTGACTTGGAGGCCGAGAGCGCAGGCCCTGGAATCTGCTCTCTGGGTTTGAGCCCTGGCTGTGTCCCTTGGTCACCAGGTAACCCTGCGCAAGTCTCTGTACCTCCCCGCACCTCAGTTTCCGCATCTGTGAAATGGAGCAGTGATGGCAGCTGCCCCCCAGAGTGGGTGTGAGGCCTGGGGGCTCGTGGAGAGGCTCTGGATTTGTGCCTGTGCAGGTGCCCCCCTTGCTGTCCCCGCAGTGCCCCTTGGCATCTGGTCAAGGGAATTCCGGATGCCAGCCCTGAGACATGGCCTCGGTGCACCACTGGGCCCAGCCCCACCCCAGGGCACTCCACGCCTCCTCCGCCTGCACACCCCAGTGTCCCCGGGAAATGGGGTGTCCAGAGCCCATGCTAACTAGGTGACCCCTGGGTACACCCCTGCCCAGGGGCCATGCGCCTTACCTGGCACAGCAGAGCGCACTTGGCTTCAGCATTCTCTGTAGACGAGCGTCGCCCCCCTCCCGTCTGCCGTTGGGGGACCTGGGATTCACGCTTCAGGGGGAAATCGTTTAATGATTGGCCACGAGGAGGTCATTTATATTGGCTAAGCGGGCTTAATTAGACTGGATTCGAAGGTTACCATAAGCGCACAAAAAAGCTGTTAAGGGGTTAATCTCTGAGAGATTACATTGTATTCAGCGCTCTGTTAAAGTTTGAATTAATTTTTCCCATGGGTTTGTTCACATTCTAATTTTCAACTAAATGAGACATCTGTTTCAGAAAAGGAAAATTTGCTCTGGTTGCCATGGCAACTATCATTCTGTAAGAAAATTATTCCAATGGTTACTTTAGAACAGAAAGACAGAAATTCAGGACATAAAGCCGCCTCCCATTGCTCAGTTGGAATTCTGATTCATCCGACCTCCTTGGGATCTGAGATGTCCTGGATGGCATGCGGACATCGGGCTCCTGGCCCTCAGTGGGGCGAGCCTGGGTCCAGGCGCCAGGTCGCGTTGGAGACAGGCACGGGGTTTTTGCAGGGCCTGGGCATCCCGTCTTGGGCTTTGACGGTCTCAGACCACGGCTGCCCCCCAAGGTGGGTGGGCCACTAGGGACTGGGCTGGACCCTGGCTGCTTGGGTGGCCCTGTGAGCCCTTGCCTGTCCTGTCATCTTGTCTGGAAACCAGAACAGCCTTGGACTTCAGCTCTGGCCCCAGAGGGCATTACTAGATGAGGAGGTCAAGTGACCAGACGCGGAAGGCTGGGAGCATCTGGGGCCCACTTCACCTCGAAGAAGGCCTGCCACCACACTTCTGTCTCCTCTTCCCATGGCAGAAACCTGAATGGACATCCACAGGAGGGGCCGAGATGTTTTCGGCCTCTGAGGGGTGAGGTCATCGTGAAGTCTGTCTCTCCCGCGGTGCCAGAGAAAGCTCCCAGCCTGACGAGGGTGTTCCCCAACCCACGGGCCATCCTGGCAAATAGCTCCTTTGGATGTTTGCATGAATGACTTGACTCTTCCTGCTCCTCCTAAAATTTCAATAAAAGCTAGAACCTCCCCTTTTCCCATTGATGGAGCTCCTGGGTATTTAGAAGGAGTTTTCATAGTGGAAGTATAATTTAAGCCTCTTAAACCTCCTCCCTCTCTCCTTTTTTCCCTCCCCCCTGTGTCAGGGTCATGGTACCTCACAAGAAGGACCCCCAGCCCTCATGGGGTGAGATCTGGGGGCATAGGCATCAACTATCCTGCCGGTAGAGGTGAAGTCGCCGGCCCGGGGGCAGAATCAGATGTCTGATGCCAACCTCGGTACCTTGAGCAAGCTCTCAGGGTCTCCCCAGGGGCAGGGTGGATTCCACCTTCCCAGGACTGGAGGTGGTGTATTTCCAGGAACTAGGCAGGTGTATCTATGGGGAAACGCCACCCCAAGGGGAAGGCTCGGTAGTGCTGGGTGAGGGGAAGCTGGGGCAGGTGGAGGCTTGCGTGGGGGTCTGTGGTGTCTCTGATACATTTCTAAGTGTCTCTTTCAGGAAGCTACCCCTTGCTGTGGCTCACAGGAACTAACAAACGCCTTCTCTCCATGCAGATGAGGCCTCATCCTGTCTTGTAAATATTTGATTAGATTTTTGAAGAATGGATCTTGTATTTGGAAGGCAGCGCCAGAAACACGTTGCTTTTTCCCCTGGAGGCTGACAGGGCTTTGGGCTCCTGGGAGGACCACTAGGCTTGGCTTTCGGAGCGGCTCCCAGACAGCTGCAGCCTCTCCTGCAGTCACTCTGCCCTGGCTCAGCCAGAGGGGGGCTTTGAGGATGCCCAGAGTCTGAGGGCTTCAGAAATTACAGAGCTGGGAGCTCAGCCTATTAAGGCGGGAGCCGCCCCAGCTGGCTGCTGGAGCACGACTGTCAACTGTTTCTGACCAGGAACCATGGTAGGAAAAGCACTTCACATTGTGACTCAGTACACTTAAATAGATACGTGGGTATCTATTTAAATATAAATATATTTAACTGAAGTATCCTTTCCCTGCTAGGAGATACTCTCTCTTCTTCTTCTTCTTTTTTTTTTTTTTTTTGATGCTTTCTTTTCTTTTTTAAAAAAATGTTGTTGTGACCCATCAAAATGCAGTTTGAAAAACTCTGCCCTAGGTCAAAGGTTTTTCATGAAGGCTCCATGGGTGGGTTTCAGGAGGGGCCCACAATAATGATGGCAATAGTGATAGTGGTGATGGTGATGATGGTGCTGGTGATGATGATGGTGGTGATGGTGATGGTGATGATGGTGGTGATGGTGATGGTGATGGTGATGATGGTGGTGATGGTGATGGTGATGGTGGTGGTGATGGTGGTGATGGTGATGGTGGTGATGGTGATGGTGGTGATGGTGGTGGTGATGGTGGTGATGATGATGGTGGTAGTGATGATGATGATGACTTTGTAAACACTAAAGGACTATGTTAACGTGGGATCTTATAATGACTTAGGCTCAAGGGAGAGTCATAGTAAGGATGCTCTTGTTAGAAATGAAAGCCCAATCAAATGGCTTTATGTTGCCCATATAACTGAGAAGTGCAGAGGTATGGTGGGTGACTGGTGCAGTTTTGATCCAGTGGGCTCCCCTGGGCCATGTGGTCCAGCCATGGCCCTTTGGGACAGCTTAATAGCTATTAACAGCTTCCAAGGCAAGAAGCTCACTGGTTGATATGCAGGGATGAGAGCATCCTCTTCTCTCATCATCAAACGAAGAAATATTTGGGATCCTCACCAATGGGAAGGATCTATGTTACATGTTCACCATTGAACCAATCCAAGGGAATCACTTGCATTGCTCAGTCTAGGTCTGAGTTGAGATTCCATTAATTGGCCTAGGTCCCTCTGGCCCTGCGCTTAGAGCTGGGGGTGGACCGAGCCTGGCTGGGAGCTTCGGGGGAAAGCAGCAATCAGCATCCTCTACTTGGAAGCCATTCTCTCTGGGTTTGGTCTCAACCTGCCCCAACTGTGGGCAGGAAGGCGAGTGAGCATGTTCTTCTCTGAATTTCCTTAGAGGAGCTTGAAGCAAGAGAGGTCTTTGGCTGAAGCTGATTCTTTTTAAACTTTCCTTTTGAAAAAAATCACAGAAATAATATTTGTTCATCCTAGAAAAACAGAAACTGTGTTGAAAGAAGGGGAAAAGAGAAGAGGAGGCCAGAGACATCCCACAGCCCGCAAGTTGGTCAGGATTCTGGCTAAGTCCAGGCGATCTCCACCTTTACTTTGAGCTTCTAGTCATCAAGCCTGTCCTGATGACCATTTGGCACCGCAACTTGCTTCCCCTTCCTGTGACCGCCCCACTCTCTCAGTGGCCCTCTCTGAACTGCCTGCTCTTCTTCCATAGGCAGCCCTGGTTTTATGGCTGGGGCTTTAACCTGCCTCGAGGCCAAGCACTGCTAGAGAAATGGAACCTCATTCCTGAAGGCGTAGACATCCTGATAACCCATGGACCACCACTGGGTAAGAGTCAGCTGCCCCCCGCCTTGGCTGGCCCGGCCCCCAGTGGGCCTGCTTGTGCTGGGAGTGGATGCAGAGGGTGTGGGTGTTGAGAGGGGCGGGGTCCGGCCCCGCCTGAGCACAAAGATCAGCCCGGATGAGCTCTGTTCTGAGTCTGACTTGCTGTGGCATTGGGGACAGGTCACCCCACGGCCCCCCTTATTTCCTGAGCACCTACTACGTGCCAGGGGTTCAGCTTGTTACCCGTGGACTCCTCGCAGCCCCCCAGGGAGGTCAGAATCAGCTGCCCGTTTTCCACACGTTGCATACTGGAGCTCAGGGACGTGGAGAGGCGGGGCTGGGCCCTTGACCTGCATCCTGGGGGCATAATACCTTCAAGGTCACCCTCTGGGCTTCATCCTGCACACCCCTCACCCCATCCCAACAGTCTCTAGGGCCTGTGGGTTCCACCCTCAACAACTCTCTTCCCAGGCCCCGCTGCCACCTCCCTGGTCCAAGCTGATGTCACTGTTCACACAATCTAACTGCCTCTGGGCCCCCCTGGCTGTCCCATCGGGCGGCTTTCTCAGGCCTCCCCTCCCCCCGTCCTCACACACACTTCCTGTCCATCTGCACGTCCCTCCGATTCCACCTCCAAACTGGATCCCAGCTCCTTCCTCTCCTCTCCAGCATGCCTGTCCCCACCTGGGTCCAGGCCGACGTCTTCTGCCCCTTTGATGACTGCCATGGCCCCCTCACTGGTCCCCCAGCCCCGAGTCTTGCCGCTTCCACTCCACTCTCCTCACATCAGTAGGAGGGAGTTCTCTGAATCGGCGGCTATGCCCTGCCATCCCTCTACAACCCTTCATGGCTCACCTAGGCCTTAGAATGCTGTCCGAACTCCCAGCAGCCCGGCCCCTCCAGCCTCCCCCTCCTCCTGCTGCCTCCACAGAACCTGCCATCACTCTCCCAGCATTTGGGGCCAGGGCGGGCGATGCTGGGCAAGGGGCGAAGCTGAGCCATGCTCATCTCCAGGGTTTGCAGGCTGCGGGGTTAGAGGGGCACAGAATGGCCAGGCTTGGTGGGACCTTTCTCTCCCTCCCTCCCTCTCTCTCTCTGTGTCTCTCCCACCCTCCCTCCTTTCCTCTGTCTGTCTCGCTCCCTCCCTCCCTCCCTCCCTCCCTGATCACTAAGGCAGTGGCAGCAGCAGCCTGCCCGAGTCAGTGACTCAGAGGATCCCCCTTCCCCTTCCGAGCATGCAGAAACCCGTTTCACCCACCCAAACAGAGAGGGGCCACGATGAACCCTAGCTGCTCGCTTGGAGTCATCAATTATTCTTCGTTTGTGTAGCCATGTGAGGATAATAAGCCGCCACCATATGGGGCGGCTCCGGGAGGCTGGCGGTGTGAGCAGACCCAGACATAGCCACGTGAGCCAGGCTGCGGTGAATGGAGTTCATTTTCGTGATTTTGTGATGTTTGTTTCGAAAGTTTCCGATGTGGAAATCTCGCTCCTGGTTCTGCTCTGTTGCCAGCGTACTAGGGTGCCCTTGGGCCTCACCCGTCCCTTTCAGGCCTCGGTGTGCTTGTCTCTGCAATGGGTGGATGGCACCCTTGAGGCTGCTCTGAGCCCGGGTCGTGGGGGAGGGGTGCTCACTTGCCACCCTAGGTGCCTGGCCCACTCGGGGCTCTTGTAAGCATGGCTCTCTGGGTGGCCCTGCAGAGGAGTGCGTCCAGGTGACCAGGCCCCAGGCGGCACGTGGTAGAGCCACGGGCTTTCCCTCCCTGAAGGCCAGGGACAAGGTGGCCTTGGGAGAGCTTGCTGGGAAGTGGGGGGCGGGTTCTGCCCGATCCCTGAGTCCAGGATCTCGTGTCCCTGAGTCGCAAAAGCTGCGGCGTGGGGCCTGCGGGGGCTGGGGGCCTGGCTGCCTGGACCCCGTCACTGCCCTCCTCTCCTCTCCTTACACAGGCTTCCTGGACTGGGTCCCCAAGAAGATGCAGCGGGTGGGCTGCGTGGAGCTGCTCAACACGGTGCAGAGGCGCGTCCAGCCGCGGCTGCATGTCTTTGGCCACATCCACGAAGGTCGGCGTGGGGGGTGGGGGAGGGGCTCCTCGCGGGCCCTGTAGAGGGGCCCCCTCACCTCCCTTCAAGCCAGTCACCTCCTCCCTGCTCTCAGCCCCTTCCTGACATTCACTCTGTAAATGCTTTATCTGCACTTGGCCATTAGTTAGCTACTGCTGAAATGTTTAATGATGGGAAGACAGTTGTAAAATCTAGCGAGACTTAGGGGTAAGATTTACCCCCTTGGAGCGCTGCGACTCTGCCATGCCTCCAGCCTGGGAAGTCTTTGGGATGTGGGCAGGGAGCTCTCTGGAGGAGGGGACACTGGATGGAACATGGACGATATGTTAGGTTGGGTAGGCACGCTGTGAGCCCCTTAAGGCTGGCAGCCGGGTCTTGTCGCCTACATCCCTACAGCCTGGCATACAGTGCTTAATAAATGTGGAGGTGCTTAATAAATGTGGAGGGCCACTTGCTTGCCTGAGACATTCTGGTGGTACCTTATGTCCACCCCCACCACACGCACGACAGACCTGGCATTCTGGCTCTGTTCCTGGGGGGCTGGGGCCACTTGCTGTGTCCACATAGTTCGAATGGTAGGGGGCGTTTACTTCCCCTCGGGGGGCAGCGGGCAGGGTGGCCGTGATGGTGCTGGGTGGTGTCAGCTCCAGCCCTGGCTCCCCACAGCCCCACGTCCCGCACGCAAGGCTTTCCTTATTAGACCTTGGGTTTCCTCCCTGGAGCTTCATTCTTCAATCTGGCAGACCCCTCTTTTGCTCCGTTTGAACCTTCCTCCCACCTGCCCCTGGCCTCCCCGTCCCATCCCCCACTCTACCAGAAAGCACACGGGCTCCCATGGGCCATGGGGACTGATATATATGTTTTCCCCTAGAGTTGTCTCCCAGCTTCTTGAACCTCACATATGCTTGGTCCTCATCAGATCATTTTCCAACTCAGAAGCAAATAAGTCTCAGCCCTTTCCCTGAGGGCCACTGCCAGGTGTTGTTCGAGGGCAGGAGTGACCAGATAGATCTCCCCTGGCCCCAAGGAGATCACAGAGGGGCAGCAGATAGGCAATAAAAGGCAGAATCTGAGAAGTCATGGGAGGGACAACCCATGGGCTGTGGGATAGCAATATGGCTGTCATTTTCTGTAGCCCAATTATGGGCATGGAATGCCATCAGATCCCAGGTGGTGTGTGATCCAAACCACATTCCTGCACAATTGCATTTGGGGGATCCAAAGAATGGGTAACCTGCAAGAGGAGGGGAAATGTCCTTTCTGGCTTGGAGGTGATCTGAGCTGAAGGATGAGGATTCTGACAAGTAGACATGGCAGGAAAAGAGTATAATAGCAGCAGAGGCTAAGAGAAGAAAGTACATGATGATGGTGATGATGGTGGTAGTGATGGTGGTGATGGTGATGGTGGTGATGATGGTGGTGATGGTG